GAGCCCAGCCTAATTACAATTTTTAATGCAATACAGAACTGCAAAAGCAGGTATCTTTTTCTGATCCTGATATTAGTAGGAGAGTATTCAGTATTTCACCATTAAGTATAATTATAGATTGAGATGGAGGTCCTAAGAACTTTTTGCCCAAACTAGCCCAAAGCAGGGATCCTCCTAATCTCTAGTTCCCAAGTAGTCAGGTTTATAGGGATGATCTACAATGCCCAGCTTAGTTCTTATTCTTCATTTTATTAGTCATAGTGTATTAACATTGATTTTCAGCTATTGAGCCAACCTTGCATTCCTGGGAGAGATACTATTTTATTCTTATATATTTGGTACTATTTATTTCTGTGTGCACACATCCTATTTGTGACAGTAAATGAACAATAAAGAGTATAATTTTTAAATAATCATTTTTAAAGATTGTAATTTTTAATTTTGTTTTACATATTTAAGCACTCTTTTGGCAACTAAAAACTCACATATAGAGCCTAGTTAGAGTAGTTAAACAGAATCAGGCATAGTTGCCTACCTTTAATTGTAGCTACTTGAGACCACAGGTGGAAAGATCATGAGTTCAAGGCTAACTTGGGCTACATGGTAAGATCCTGTCTCAAAAAAACAAAACAAAACAACAATCCATTGAAAATATAGAAAGGCTGTTAGCTGGATGCTGGTAGCTCATGGCTATAATCCTAGCTGAGGAGGCTGAGATCTGAGGACAGCAGTTTGAAGCCAGCCCAGGCAGGAAAGTCCATGATACCTCAGCTCCAGTTAAGCACCAAAAAAGCTGGAAGTGAAGCCAAAATGGTTCAAGTGGTAGAGTACCAGCCTTGAGCAAAAAAGGTCAGAGATAGTGCCCAGACCCTGAGTTTAAGCCCCAGGACCAGCATGTATGAGTATGAGTATGTGTATACACACACATCTCTCTCTCTCTCTCTCTCTCTCTCTCTCTCTCTCTCTCTCTCTCTCACACACACACACACACACACACACACACACACATACACACACACACAGGTGCAAACTGTCAGCAGCTTGTGCCTATAATCCAAGCTATTCAGTAGGCTGAGATCTACTGGATCATGGATTGAAGCCAGCCAGGGCTGAAAAGTCCTTGAGACTCCATCTCCAAAATAACAAAGTAAAAAGCAGGACTGTAAGTATAGCTCAAATGGTAGACCACCTAGCAAGATGAACAAGCACAAAGTCTTGAATTCAAACTGCTACTGGGCCCAGAGTTCAAGCCCAGGACTTGGGAAAAAAAAAAAAAAAAAAGGACTAGTGATGTGAGGCTCTGGGCTTAATCTGTGGTATTACACAAAATAAAAACAAAGCTGACTGGGATGTGGATGCTCTAATCCTATATTTTCTGCTTCACTGTCAATATAAACTTAATGTAAAAAAAAATAAATAAATAAACTTAATGTAAAGATTTCTCTCATAGCCTGGCACTGGCTATTATCCTAGCTATTCAGGAGACTAAGATCTGAGCATCTCAGTTCAAAGCCAGCTAGGGCAGGAAAGTCCGTGAGACTCTTATCTCCAATAAACCATTCAGAAAACCAGAACTGGTGCTATGACTCAGATGGTAGAGAGCTTGCCTTGAGCTGAAGAGCTGAGGGACAGTACCAGGCTGAGTTCAAGTCCCACAACTGACCCCCCAATTTTTTTTTCTCTCATATAGAACTTTTGGTTTAAAAAAAAGTGAGCCGGGCACCAGTGGCTCACAACTGTAATCCTAGCTACTCAGGAGGCTGATATCTGAGGATCATGGTTCAAAGCCAGCCCGGGTAGGAAAGTCCATGAGACTCTTATCTCTAATAAACCACCAGAAAACCAGAAGTGGCACAGTGACTCAAGTGGTAAAGCGCTAGACTTGAGATGAAGAGCTGAGGGACAGTGTTTAGGCCCAGAGTTCAAGCCCCATGACCAACAACAACAACAAAAAGTAAATTGGGAACCATAATCCAAATTTTTTATTGTTTGCCAGTCCTGGGGCTTGAACTCAGGACCTGGGTACTATCCCTGAGCTTCTTTTGCTTAAGGCCAGCACTCTACCACCTGAGCCATGGCACCACTTCTGGCCTTTTCTGTATATGTGGTACTGAGGAATGGAACCCAGGGCCTCATGCATGCTAGGCGAGAATTCTACCACTAAGCCACATTCCCAGCCCCCCCCCCCCAAAAAAAACCAACTTGAGTTGAGGGAGGATGGGCATGGTGGTGCATGCCTGTAATACCATCAATAAGAAGGCTACAGTAAGGGGACCTTAAATTTGAGGCCAGCCTGGACTACATAGCAAGTTCAAAGCCAGCCTGGGCTATATCAAGACTGTCTCAAAACAAAACAAAACAAAAACACAAGTTATGGCTTTGTTATACCAAACACAGTAGGCACAGGGCCCTGAATTCAAACACTGTACCCTAATACCAAAAACAAAAAACAAAAAAAAAACAACCCACAACATGCAGCTGGGAAGGTGGTGGCTCAGTGGTAGAGTACTTCCCTTGAATACATGAATCCCTGGGTTCGATTCCTCAGTAGCATATACACAGAAAAAGCCAGAAGTAGTGCTGTGGCTCAAGTAATAGAGCACTAGCCTTGAGCAAAAAGAAGCTCAGGGACAGTGCCCAGGCCCAGAGTTCAAGCCCCAGGACTGGCAAAAGCAAAAAAAAACCCACAAAAACAAAAAATATCATATATATATATATATATATATGTTTACTTTTTATTATACTGGCAAGTCACAATGGGACACACCTATAATCCTAACATTTGGGAGGCTGAGACAGGAAGATCAAAAGTTTGAGGCCAGCCAGCTACATCTCAAAACCTTGAGATATAAATATAGTAAGATATAAATGAATGGATGCATGAGGCATAATTAGGTAAAACTTGTTAAAGAACGACAGCGTGGGGTGGAGGATGACTTTCACTGTGCTAGTGAAGGAAGGTTTTAGTTTGGCCTACTATCCTTTTGCTTCCATCATCCAATAGTGACACTTGTATCCCACGGGGAACACTTTCCAGAGATCTACCCTTGTTGATTCCGATATGTGATGGAGGGATGAATAGTCTCCTGCAGAAGCAAACCCTACTGAAAACTCCAAGCTCAGCAAAACACGACCACATTCTTTTCAATAAAATCTAAGTGATTTATTTTTTTATTTTTTTGGGTCTGGTCGTGGGTCCTTGAACTCTGGGCCTGGGCGCTGTCCCTCAGCTCTTCAGCTCAAGGCTAGCGCTCTACCACTTGAGCCACAGCGCCACTTCCGAAAGCTAAGTGATTTAAAGGAAGAAAAAAAAAATCCAGGGCTGGGAAGGAGGCTCTACGGTAGAGCGATTGCCTCGCATGCTTGAGGCCCTGGGTTTGATTCCTCAGCACCACATAAGCAGAAAAAGCCCGAAGTGGCACTGTGGCTCCAATGGTAGAGCGCTAGCCTTGAGCTGAAGAGCTGAGGGACAGCGCCCAGGCCCAGAGTTCAGGCCCCATGACTGGCAAAAAAAAAAAAAAAAAAATCCACAAAGCTGCTTCATAGTTTTGTTTTTAAAAAATAAAATACATGCCTTTCTTGTTTGCTTTTTGTGGGGTGGGATGTGTGTGTGTGTGTGTGTGTGTGTGTGTGTGTGTGTGTGTGTGTGTGTGTGTGTGTGTGTGTGTGTGTGCTGTTGAGCATTGTTTGGGGGATTTTTGTTTTCTTTTGAGACAGGATCTCACTGGGTAGCTCAGGGCTGGAACTTCCTATGCAATCCGGGCAGACCTGCCTCACCTCCTAAGAGCTGGCATGACAGGCGTTCATCATTTTACAACATGCTTTCTTTGTATGCATTTTTTAATAGACAAAACTATTTCTATAGTCCATAATTAGCAAGAGCTTTATTACAATACTAGTGACTCACAGCTTTATCTTTTAAGAGCCTTTCCTGAAAACAGCTCTTACACTCATCCCTGCAAGGATCCATTCTCTGGCACAATAGCAAGAAACCATTCTGGCAGGCACTCTGCAGGGAGGCAGGTTCATTGTCTGGTCCCAGCTTTCACCTGGCAGAAACTGGAGCCACTGCTGAGAAAGCCGCTAGACTCATTAGCATGTCTTTATTCTACGGAAAGGAGACCGGGATCCGCTCCAATTCTGACACCTCACTCCACGATCACCAAATTCCCAACAAATCGCCTAAGCCAGAGAGTCCGTAGTGGTCGCACGGGTCCCCAGAAATTGTGAGCACAGTAAGGACCAAAAAAGAAAGAAAGAAAGAGAGAGAGAGAAGAGGGCAGGTAGCTGGGTCACCAGCCAGCAGCCCGCCCTGGCCTGGTACTCACTCCATTGGACTACCTTGGGATTCTTTCTCCCGTGCTGTCAAAATCCTCCCGCACCTCCGAGGCCCAGGCCAAAGCCACAGAGGAGGCCGGAGGCGGTTACCTCTCTGGGTGAAGGTCCGCATCTGAAAACAAACCGCCCTTCCATGCGTTTCCAGCGCGGCTGCCAGCCGCAGCTGGGTCCCCGCGCCCGAGAGCCGGCCCTGCGGTGCCTGGCGCAGAAGGAGATGCCAGGGACGCTCCGCTCCGCACGCAGACCCGCACACTGCCGTCCGCGCGCGCGTGGTTTTGTTTTGCTGTGTTTCCCTTCTGACAGCGCTAACCTCCCCGCACCCCCCGCGGGGGGGGGACCCGGAGGGGGCATCGGGGGTCCACACCGGGCTCGGTCGCCTGTCACCGGTGCGCGGCCCTCGGCGTGGCCGGGGCGTGCCGGGCACGGCTCGGTCCCCCCCGCCCCCCGCCCCGGTCCGGACCGGTGCTCGTCCCCGACTGTCTCAGGGCAGATTACCGGGGGCCGCTCCGGCCTCCGCGGGGGCTGACCTCCGTGACCCCGGCGGCTGCCGGCGCGGCCTCGGCGGCTCCCCGAGTCCCCTCGCGGGCCGGGGGGGCGGCCTTCTCGATCTCCCCGCACCCGGATCGTCCCCCGCGCCCTCCGCACCCCCTCCCGGCGCTCACCGGACTTGGGCGGGTAGCGGTACACGGAGTTGGACGGGATGTCCACCTCCTCCACGCCCGCGTGCTGCCGGCTGGTCAGGGCCCCCATGGCCGCGGCGGCGCCCGCCGGCCCCTCCGCGCCTCACCGCCGACGCCGGCCCCACGCCGGGTACGGGGGTCGGCTGCCCACCGCGGCCGGCTCGGCTGCGGCGGCGGCGCTGCGGCTCTGGCGACGGGGAGCCCCGGGCGCGCCGCGCACCATCCTCCGCGGGGCACCGCGGCGCCTCCTCTGCCCGCGGGGGGCTGCGGGGGGCTGGGCCGGGGGCTCCGCCACCACCGCCGCGGCCGCCGCCTCAGGCCGCGTGATGTCAGCGGCGGCTCGCGCCCCCCGCCCCCCGAGGCAGTCTCAGCCAATCACAAGGCGGAACGGGAGCGCCCCGTGCCCGGCCAGCCAATCACCGGCGAGCTGCGGCGGGAGCGGCGGCGCGTGCCTCGCGCTGGGGGCCGCGGCGGGACCTGCAGCGGGGCAGCACCGCGCGGACACCCAGGCCCGGGCCTGGGGAGCGGGAGGAGGAAGCGGGGGTCCCCGCCCACGGCCTAATTGCCTGCGGCTCGGACCCCACCCAGGGGTCTTCCCGGGGTCTTCCCTCCCTCCCTAAGGCCCGCGAGGACGGCCCCGGAGCTCGATTGCTTTTGTCCCAGCCTCCCCCAAAAGCCTGCTGCCCCGGCCTCAGCTCCTCGGCCTGGACGAGCCTTCCCCGGCCTCCACGGAGACCGAGCACTGTCCCCCGCGTGGACCCGGCGCCTTAACACCCCCCAGCACCCGAACCGAACCCCGAGTGCGGGGCTCACTAAGCCCATCTCCCCACTGTTGGCAAGATAAACTACTGCTTGATGCGGGTGACGGCTCCTGGAGGCCTGACCTGGGGTCTGTGGCCCCTTGCACACTCAGGTAACCTTTAGGGTTGGGGTTTGGAGATCATCAACTCAAGATCAAGACGTTCACCCACCGCCTGGACCCTGGAAACTTCGCCAAGGCCCCTGGGTGGGTGTGCCGGTGAGCAGAGTGGTCGCAGTGAATCAGGCGAAGGAGATCTGAGCTCCTTTGGTGGCAACAAAACCAAACCTCACACCAGTCTGGTGTGGTGGCTCATGCCTGTAATTTCTGCACTAAGAAGGCTGAGGCAGGAGGATGAGTTTCTGGGTTACATAGCTAAATCCTGTCTCAAAAACAATACATACACACTCACTCACCAGTGGGAAGCTTGAGCAAGCAGAAGACGTCATTCCAAAACTTAATTACAGACATTTGTGTTTTCAACCTTTTATTTTATTTGTGGGTCTGGTGTTTATTTCTGACAGGACAGACTGGTCAGCAAAAAAATTTCCTACAGCCAGAACATGACCTCAACCACGTTCAGAGTGCAGTTTGGAGTGGCTGGTTCCCTTGATTTGTTGTTGTTGTTATTGCTGTTAAATGTGTTCTTTTCAACAGAAAGCAACTGATCCGGTGCTAAAGTTACTTACAATTGCCTTAGTTTCCCCCCAGAATGGCAGGAACTCAATATTGTTATTTATTTGTTTATTTAATCATTTATTTTTGTGGGCTAGTACTGAAGCTTGAATTCAGGGCCTGGGGCCCTGGCACTTTCACTCAAGACGGGTACTCTACCACTTGAGCCACAACTCCACTTCTGGCTTTTTGGTGGCTAATTAGACTTTGCTGCCTGGGCTGGCTTCAAACTGGGATCCTCAAATCTCAGCCTCCAGGTGGACTCTATTGGCAGGCTTACTATGGTCATTTCTATTGACATGCCGAGGCAGTCTGAACTCCCAAGCAGGTCCCTGCTCCAGGCAGGCCTAGAACTCCCTGGGTAGTGTTCAAAACTCTCCCAGCATCCTCTAGCCCTCACCAAGTTCCAGACATGCCTTTGGGAAGGAACTGGGATTCTTGTCGGTACTTTTCCCATTGGTAAAAGTCAAGTAGAAGGTACAAAGAATCTAGAACCAGCTCCTAACAGGCCTTCAACCATGTCACAGAGTAAAATATGTTACCTTATAATCTTGGGCTCTGTTCTGAAGGCTTTGTTCTTTCTGCCCTGGGAGGGTTGTGCAGGGTCATCCCTCCCCTTCATGGGTTTATCTGTGTCTGCCTTTCCTCCTTTCAGCCTGCAGCAGCCAGGCAACTGGGTCCTGTTGCTTTTCCATCTCAGCTTGCTCCACGCCTGGGAAACAGACTCTTTCCCATCCTCCACCGCCTTCCAAGCTAGGAGTTGGCTCCCCTCCTACAAATAAGTTGGACCAATGTTTACTGGAGTAAACAAACGGGTGGTCTAGACAGATTTTAGTGGATGCTTATCAACCATTCTTTCTGTGCCAATCCTATTTTTCTTTTCTTTTTGTTATTTCAATTTATTTATGTATTTATTTTTCCCCTTACCATCCCTTCTCATCTCTCCCCTCCCCCCCCCAATTTTTCTTTTTATTATTTTTGTGTTGATTCTGGGGCTTGAACTCAGGGCCTGGACACTGTCCCTGATCCTTTTTGTGCTCAAGGCTAGCACTCTACCACTTAAGCCATAGCACCACTTCCAACTTTTTCTGAGTAGTTTATTAGAGATAAGAATCTCATGGAGGGCTGGGAAGGTGGCTCAGTGGTAGAGTGCTTGCCTTGCATGCCTGAGGCTCTGGGTTCGATTCCTCAGCACCACATAAGCAGGGGGGAAAAAAGCCAGAAGTGGAGCTGTGGCTCAAGTGGTAGAGCGCTAGCCTTGAGCTGAAGAGCTGAGGGACGGTGCCCAGGCCCAGAGTTCAGGCCCCATGACTGGACCCAAAAAAAAAAAAAAAAAAAGAATCTCATGGACTTTCCTGCCCAGTCTGGCTTTGAACAGCAATCCTCAGGTCTCAGCCTCCTCAGTAGCTAGGATTATAGGTATGGGCCACCAGCACTCAGCTTCTTCTTTTTTTAAGATGGTCACTGGTGGCTAATGCCTGTAATCCTAGCTATTCTGGAGGCTGAGATCTGAGAATCGAGGTTCAAAGGCAGCCTGGGAAGACAAATCTGAGAGACTTTTATCTCCAGTGAACCAGCAAAATACTGGAAGTGGAGATATGGCTGGAGCCATATACAATAAATAAATAAATAGCAAGAGGGAGAAGTCTTTCATTTAACTCACAATGTTGGAGTCCAAAATTCTTTACAGGATGATAGAGACTCTAGTGAGAGCAGTCTTTTTTTTTTTGGGTCCGGTTGTGGGGCCTGAACTCTGGGCCTGGGCGCTGTCCCTCAGCTCTTCAGCTCAAGGCTAGCACTCTACCACTTGAGCCACAGCGCCACTTCTGGCTTTTTTCTTTTTGCTTATGTGGTGCTGAGGAATCGAACCCAGGGCCTCAGGCATGCAAGGCAAGCGCTCTACCATTGAGCCACCTTCCCAGCCCCTAGAGCAGTCTTTACTGTGTCCTACCATGACTGAGTTCGTGAAGAATAGCTCTAGGCCCTATTTTAGACACTAGATGTAGGGCTGGGAAGGTGGCTCAGTGGTAGAGTGCTTGCCTTGCATGCCTGAGGCCCTGGGTTCGATTCCTCAGCACCACATAAGCAAAAAGAAAAAACCTGGAAGTGGCGCTGTGGCTCAAGTGGTAGAATACTAGCTTTGAGCTGAAGAGCTGAGGGACAGCGCCCAGACCCAGAGTACAAGCTCCACGATTGGACCCCCCCAAAAAAATTGTGGATAGACACTTGATATACAGCAAAGCATTCAGCCTTCAGAGTACCCATATGAAGCATATATATCATTAACATCTCAATTTTGTAGTTGAAGAAACTGAGGCAGGGAAAACACACTGGGCTTGAGATAGAAAAATCAAGACTGTGAGCAGTTGTGTAGCCTTGGACTAGGCCCTTAGTTTCCTTGTTTGAAAATAGCTAAGCTTCCACTGGCTATTGTGAAAATGCAATGCCTGAGTTAAGATTCATTTTAAGCCAGGTATGGTGGTACATGACTCTAATCTAAGCTAGGGAAGCAGAGATCAAGAGGATTGCGTTTTGAAGCCAGCCTGAGCAAAAGGTTAGCAAGACTGTTTCAACACTAACCCCAGCTATGTGGGAGGCCTAAGTAGGAGGATTGCTGTCTAGGGCCAGTCCTGGGTTAGAAAAGCAGGAGAGCTGATCTGAAAACATTCCTGAAATGAAAACAGACTAGGGGTAGAGCACCTGCCTAGTAAGTGTAAAGCCTTGAGTTTGAACTCCAGTACTAACAAACAAACTATCAAGAAAAAAAGACTCACTTCAGCTAGGTGTGACAGTGTGCATCTAATTAATCCCAGCGTGCAGGAGTCCTGGTTAAGAGAATATTGGGGGGCTGGGAAGGTGGCTCAGTAGTAGAGCGCTTGCCTTGCATGCATGAGGCCCTGGGTTCAATTCCTCAACACCACATAAGCAAAAAGAAAAAAGCCAGAAGTGGCGCTGTGGCTCAGAGTTCAGGCCCCACAACCGGACTCAAAAAAAAAAAGAGAGAGAGAGAGAGATTATTTGGTGTCAGGCTTGGCTTGGCTCAAAAAAGAAAATAGGATCTGGGAAGGTGGCTCAGTGGTAGAGTCTTTGCCTAGCATGCATAAAGCCCTGGGTTCGATTCTTCAGCACCACATACACAGAAAAAGCTGGAAGTGGTGCTGTGGCTCACGTGGTAGAGTGCTAGCCTTGAGCAAAACAAAAAAGCTCGGGGACAGTGCCCAGGACCTAAGTTCAAGCCACAGCACTGACAAAAAAAAAAATACAAAAGGACTGGAAGACTGACTCCAGTGGTAAAACAGAGAGAGAGAGAGAGAGAGGAAGACTAAGAAGGAGGAGGAGGAGGAGGAATGAGGAGAGGGAGAAAGAAGAGAAAAAGAGAAAGGGGGAGGGGGAAGGAAGAGGGGAGAGGGGAGGAAGAATGATGAACACAGACCAAAAAGAAAAAGGGGAGGCTGTAGTTCAGAGAAACTTCTAGACGGTTGGGGGGGGGGGGGAGATTAACTGAGTTAGAATCCCACAGTTACAATGTAATCACAGTGTTTCAGCCAGTGCCTAGGACAAAGGTGAGACCAGGGGGAAGGCCTGAATCCTGCATTCCTCTCCCTTCTCTT